ATTTCATCAGGAGCTACTATTCGCCCCTTGGAAAAGAAAGAAGAAAAAAAGAGACATGAGAAATCAAAATGGGGTGCCTGGGTGGCTCAGTCAGTCGAGCATCCGACGACGTTGGCTCAGGTCATGATCTCAGTTTGTGGGTTTGAACCCCGAGTCAGGCTGCGCTGACAGCTCAGAGCCTGGAGCCTGCTTCAGATTCCGTGTCTCCCTCTCTCTCGCTCTCTGTCCCTCCCCCCCTTTTCAAAAATAAATAAATATTTTTAAAATTTTTAATAAAAAAAATTTTAAGTCAAAATAATTTAACCCTTAAAAAATCACTGCAAAGTGTACTTGTAAGGTACATGACGCAGCCAATCCTTTTACCAGCAGAATTTGTATTTACACAGAGTAGTCAATTTTCTAAAACTCACCAGGGGACTTTTCCATATTAGTTTTCTAGTGAATCTGATGAGTAAAACTACCCAAAAAATTTTTAGGAACTGAAGAAAAACCTAACTCTTCCGTTGGGGATCTGAATCCACTTTAGACGACTACTCCATGGACACGTTTCCTTAGCATCAATACTACAACAAAAACAACTAAGATAAACAGCTTTTCTGTTTTCTAGATTTTTTTGCCTTGCACTTGATTTGCTCTGGTTACGCTGGCTTGATGTTTGAGAGTACTAAGTAATTTATTATAAAAAAAAATGACAAACCTGATTTTTAGAATTTTGAAGCATCTGGCACAGATATCTTATTTCTTACTAAAAAAATAATTAAGGGGAGCCTGGGTGGCTCAGTCGGTTAAGCGTCTGACTTCAGCTCAGGTCACGATCTCGCAGTTTGGGAGTTCGAGCCCCACACTGGGTTCTGTGCTGACACCTCAGAGCCTGGAGCCTGCTTCAGGTTCTATGTCTCCCTGTCTCAGCACCTGCCTCCTTCCCTCCCTCCCTCAAAAATGAATACACATTAAAAAAATTTTAAATAATAAAAAATAATTAAGTCATCACTTGCTAAAAGTCTCCTATATGCCAGGCACTTTATCTATATGTTCTCAATCTTGATCAGTAATCCTGCAAGATAACTGTTATGTTTCTGTCTTTCATCCTCAGGAAGTCAGCAGCCTGGAGAAAAAAAACCTGACAGTTGAGCACCTATGCTAGGATCCAAGACTAAAGTCCTGGCTTTGATTCCAAGTGAATCTCAAAGTGGAGATTCCAATAATCTGCCTATCTCTGCAAAACAAAACAAAACACCTGAGAGATCTGTACAGCTAAACAGAATAAGTAGAATTTGTAACCACTGCAAAAGAAGAAAACAGGCTTAGAATCCTATGTGACATCATCATGCCCTGTTAAGATCTTACTATGCCCTTTGCTGCCTAACTCAAAAACCAAACAATTCTCTCTCTCTGCACAGCAACCAGATCACCCCCTGCACGCACACATATGCATGCACACACACAGTTTTATTATGACCCTGAGGATAGTATTTTTGTGACATAAGATTCCAGTGGTTTATGGCTGGGACACAGAAGCTTCTGGTTAATTAAATATCCTCACTGGTTTAATCTCCCTAACATTAAACCCCTAAACTACAACAAAGGACGATCTTCTTTGTTGTGTAGCAATACCCTTTAAGGACCCATCCAGGCGTCAGATTCATCAAAAGAAACTCAAGTTCTCACTGCTGAAATTAATTCCCTCTGCTCCTTCATCTGACCTTGTTTTTGTTTTTAATCTTTGGGGGGGAAACTTGCCACACCACACTGAAGCTCTGTGATTTGATCCCAGCCACCAAGTGGAAATCAACTCCACTCACCTCATCTTCGGTAACATTCAGTTTATTCAGACCACTACTTACCTATTGTTCTTAATCTCTTTTTCTGGACCGGATGATTGAAACTGACACAGTTAGAGACCTCTGAATGCTAACCCAGTAGGAAGAGACTAGTTTCTGCTCATTTCTTCTTTGCCCCATCTTGGTATGTGAAAGTCCTTCACACCAGGTGAAGTCGAAGGCCCTCTCTCCCATCACCACTTAAGGAACTAATAAGAATATTACCTCTGAATGCCATGAGCAGCTTTTAAAAGGGCAACAAAAAACAGAGAGCACAGGAATTTTCAACTTAGTGTCAAAGACCCATTGACCCATTCGTCTTTTGTGTCGATTTATTTTGTATCTGACTGGACAGTTAGGACTATACAAACTTAAACTTCATGAGCCTACCGAGATGACAGAAGAGCCTCTGGCTTGTCACTGAGCATCTTCCCTGGGCCAAAGAACTTCATGAACTCTGTTATACGAGAACCAGCGGACAGAGTCACAGGTCTGGACTCGTGTTCTGCCCAACTTACAACAGCCAATACTGTTTAACTAGAGAAGTCCCTTATGTTTTTAATTAGACAGAATCATCCATCTTTTATACGGTTTAAGAAATCAAGGTTTCACGGTGGTGATTATTATTTTTGGCATTCTTGAGGCAGTTATAGTCTCTAAAAGACAATCTGCCTAGTAAACTATAAGACACTCTAGACAAAGTTATCCAAATTTTTCATCCTGTCTGAAGACAGTCAGTGGAAAAAATCACTCCATGAGTTACTCCACTTCCTTTACAGAGTAAGTGACTCTGAGCACCAAGCCCATTGCCTGTTCGATGACGCACATGATGAGACGCCATTTGCCAGCCTCTCCAGAGTCAGGTGTGGCAGCGTGGTGGCGCTCTGGCCAGGGGAATGTGGGCAAGAAGAATGTGCTCTTTATCTAGGCCTGTGCACATGAACACTTCTCACGGGAGCCTCCATTTTGGCCCTCATGATGACTTAAGGCAGACGAGCACAGCCATGTATGGAAGACAGAAGGAAGAACAAGACAGAAGAAACTAGGATTCCTACAAAACTGGAGGAAAACCACTCATCAATCAGGACTACCAGGGAACAAGAAATAAACTTCTGTCAGATGTGCGCTATTAGAAATGTGAGAGGTTATTCTAGCAGCTGGCATTATGCTAACGAAACAAATTTACTGGGCAACTCTAGATCAAGGTTAGGCTGACTTGGAATGGATGCTCTAGAATTAGTGACTCAGGCAAGAACAGGACATACCAGATGGAATCTCTAAATATGTACAGTGAACACCATGTTTGGCCATAATAAAGCAATCTATTCCAGTAAAAATTTTGCTGGAGAACTGAGGTTGAAAAGATACTTTTGAACCACTGATCCTTTATTTCCATAGCTGGCATAAATCACCAAAAATCTGTGAGAATCTTCAACCCTGCCTTTGCCGAAGGTACCATAATTCATATTAAAATACAACACCAGCATACCACAGGAAACCCAACTCTGAATTTACTATAAAACTACTGTTGAAGTCATTTCACAAAGGATATTATGTGATACAGCAGAGTTAAAGTTGAGTTTCTTTAACTATTTGTTTTTTCGAAGTAGAAATTTAAGATCAAGAAGACCTTTGCTTTCTCGTATGCAAGTCATATGTGTTCTCTTGGAAGAGAATCAAAACATATAGTGCTTCCCTTCCTGCCCTCTCGAAACCGAAAATGGATGTGCACCCCCACACACAACATTCACTGTCATCACTGGGGTCCTTCCTCCTCCTTGCTTTGACCTCAGTGAGCATGTCCTTCACTGCTAGATTACTTCAAAGATGAGGTATGAATAAATTCATCAATTAAGGAAGGAAACGAACACTCATTAAGTACCTACCACATGGTAGGTTATTTTTACACGGTCTTCATACCATTTAATCTTTGCAACCGTGAAATGTATGTACCATAATTTTCCATTTTACAAAGGAGGAAGCAGGGAATTTTTTTAAAAAACAAACAAACTTGCTCAAGGCCATACACGAAGACAAGATACAAGTCCAAGACATAGGACTCCAAAACTTAAATCTTTCCATTTCAAAATGCTGCATTTGACCTACGACCATCCTCCGGGCCATCCTTTGCCATTGGACCTACGCCATATTGCCAAAATAAGAAAACTGGATTACTGCTCAATTTTTATTTCATTAAATATTCATTTTTAGTGAATCGATGGTTCTCAAGTTGGCCATCCTTCCGCTTATACCTTATTATCACATTTCCGCAAAATCAAAGCGTGTACTGTGCACGCTACCCCGTGAAGATTTTAGAGGATAAACCCAGGGCAGGAGGAAGCACAGCCGTGCATGGTCTGGGCTCACCGCTGCCTCTCTCAGGAAGTAGTTCTTTCTACCTAGGAAGTGTTGGTTTCCCCAAGGGTTATTTTAGAATTTTTGTTCACCAATTCTTAAACATTTCCAAAACTCCGTCTGGGAAGATACTACATTGCTAAGGTCGGTAAACAGGCACAGGCCAAGGAAGCTGAAACACAAGCGACAGTCTTCTACTTTCTCAGCGGGGCGGCAGGAGTGCCCTACAACATCTAAAATGGTTCCATGCCGGACTAGAAAACGATTTTTAATGCTCTTCTTTTTCCTACTTACAGGACAAGGTGAAATCAAGGACAATTTGTAGTGCTGTATCACAACTCTTTTAAGTAATTATTTACTTCCCTAGAATTCTTCAAAGTCAAATATAGATAAAGTAGTTCACAAAATATTATCAGTTCCAGCAGTTATTTAAAACAGCATTAAATTACAGTTGATCAGTGAGACTATCAAAAGGCTAATATTCTTAGGTTAGCACAAGTTTTCACCATGCTAAAATTAGGTAAATTCATGGTTGTCAGTGACAATACCTTCATAATCAATGTGTCTCTGGTGACCAAGTCCTGCTCAAAAATACACTTTCCTGTTTGAAAGGGAATTTCAACACACGCTTTAACCAGAATATATTTCTATAGGTGACATTTAAGATGATAAAACTATCGACGCCAGGTTCTTTTGACTGCTAAGGTCAGAACATTTCTCTTTCCTCTGAAAGCCTGCTGTGCTACCGACGACCTTTATGTACGCCACTCCAGCTCGGTCAAGCGCTGCGTCACGGAAAATCACGCTCTTATTTTCAGGCCTTACCTTCAGGTAGGATCCATAATATTTCGTTACGTATGGACTGTCACACTGACTCAGCACTGTGATTTCTTGTTGAATGTCCTCTATCTCATCTTCAGCTTCTTCCAGATCAATGATTTTTATGGCAACCACTTTCTGAGTCCGAAGGTCAATGCCTTTGAACACCTCACCAAAAGAGCCCTTTCCAATTTTCTCCAGTTTTGTAAAAAGCTCTTCTGGATCTGCTTTCAGGTTCTGTAGAAGAGAAGGAAAAGAAGGGAGACTTCAATAACTCACAGTATGGGGACTGATTTTTCCTTTTACTCATAACATACACAACACGGTCTTCCAAGGACTGATCCATTTTCTTAAGGGTCACGCTGGTTGTGACCACAGTTCCTCACATTCAGGACACAGAGACTTCTAAGCCTCACCTCTACGAAACACGGCAAGTGTGCAAATAAGAATAACCCACATTATAACAACTGGGAAAGGCTCCAGCATTTGCATAATTAAATAAAAACCCAAACACTTATTTGAACATATTATGATATATGGATTTATTGAAAAACACTTGTTTAAGCAAATATTCCACTTTTCTCCCTTCCCCCCCCCCCCCCCCCGCTCAAAATTTCTAAGTGCAGGTTGGTATATACTAAATTTAGGTTAAGTAGTACTTAATCGTTTCCTAAGAGGCCATGTTTTAAAGTCCAACAAATACAGTCCTACGCATCTTCACTTACAGCCTAAATATTTTAACCAGATCCCAGAAAACAAGAAGAACCTGATTTCTTTTGTCTTGTTTAACATTACCTCCTTGAAATCGCTGCGACAGCTCTTAACCACCAACAGGATTGCACGAACACACACAGCGTACGTTTCCAAGGGGCCCAGATGTAGGGACTCTGGCACCCACCCTAACGGCTTCCTGACCACAGAGGAATGAGCAGCTGAATTCTCAATGGGCAACACCCTGTCATCCCCAGGGGATGTCTGGAAATGGTACGAGGCGGTGTTTGCCACAAACCGAGGGGCGAGACTGCCATTCAGCAAGGAGACCTGAGGATGCTGCCTATCTCGGCACAAGGAAGTGCCCAGCCCAAAACGCTGCTGGCATCACCTGAAACCCCACAGAGCAGGAAAGGACTGGGTGAGCCGCCACCTTACACACCTTCCCTCGGTGTACGTGAGCAAGAGGACACCGGGCCCCCCCTCCTCAAGGTCTCCCAGTCCTTGTAAGAAACTGAAATATGGAAAAGGGAGTAAGATGGGGAAGGAGGGGGGCTAAAGAGGCGGGAGAGTAACAGGCACAAGGAGAGGACGTATGGGTGGGGGGCGGCGAGTAAAGAGGGGAGAGACAGAATCACAGCATTTCAGTGGCACTGGCGGACGAGCTCTGCGGGCTAACCAGGCGCTAACTGGTAACTTGTTCCCACGGGGAAACACAAAGAGTTCCAAGCACGAGCTGGAGCCCAGCCAGCCGGGCCCCGATGTGGAGGTGCTGCTGTGCCAGCGTGAGCCCTGTGGAAATCACATACCCCAGTAACACCTGGGCAAACTGACAGTCGTGGGTGGTCTCAGGGACCCCAGAGAGGTCCCGTTTCTGAGAATGCACACCAAACTGTAAAAGCTCACAAAACCCACCAACCCTCTCAGTAAAAATGAGCAAAGGACGCAAGAAACGCATCCTGTGGTCGCCAGGAAAAAGGAACAGAAGACAGACCACGTCCATTTACAGCAGCTAGAAACCCCTGTTTGCAAACCCCTTCCCTTACCTCCTTCCCTCCACGATGAAGGGGGGTGGCCCTCCTTTTCCTCAAGGCCAATCCTAAACGCTGAGCTTTTGAGTCCATCCTTCTGTCCCCCAGGATGTGGCTTCATCAGTAGCCCCCTTCGTCGCTCCCTCTTCCGTTCAGCCCTCTCTACAGACCCTTCGCCCTTGGCGGACGGATCCAGTTTCTCCCATTAAAAGAAAACAAAAACAAAAACAAAACCACCTGGCTTCTCCGGTCACCCTCCTCCTCCACTCTCTCCTTCCTTGAGAGTTCCCTGCAAGTCCCCGGGACCAGCCAGGCGCCCCGCCCCTCACGGGTCACCGCTGCAGTCTGGCTCTGGCTTCGGGTGGCGCAGTGCCGGATCTGAACCTCCTCCACGAAGCCCTCCCTCTGGGAACTTTCCAGTCCCTTGGCATCTAAACCCTGCCCTCCACTCGTCTCCTCCCCAGGCCCTAGTTCCAGAGGAGTCTTCCCACAGACTCTACCCACGCGGCCGAATCACAGGTATTCTCCCCGTGGCTCCATGCTGGCCTCCCAGCCCTTCTCTACTCGTTCTCCCAGTATAGTTTCAAGGTTTGATACCAGGTTCCCCAAACCCGGCTGGTCAGAATTACCTAGGATGCTTGGGAGATCCCCAAAACATCCTCAGTCATACACGGGGGGGGGGGGGGGG